TCTTCAAGAAAGATATTTCGTTTTTCAAAATTTTTAAAACCTGATGTATCGCTTTTCTTTGAAGGTACTTATTTATATTGTTAAGATTATGAGCGTTGTAAATAAATACTAGTAGGTCTCTTAGTGTTGGCAAGTAGTACATGTTACCTACGTGATCAGTCTTCTTCTTAAATGAAATGTATCTTTGGCATTTAATCAATAAAAATTTTCCACACATTACATTTCTTTATTATCTGTGAATTTTTTCCTTGGAAAATTATTAGAGTGTTTTTTTTTTCCTGTGGATTGATTGGAAAAGGTTCCGATAGAACCATTGAAAGGATTCCTGTTAGTCCATGCATTAAATATAAAAAAAAATTGTACTCACAAGTACAGCTCAGGCATTACGAAGAGTTTTATCTATGTTGTAATGTTTATTTTTTATTTTATTTTATTTTTTTACAAAAACGATGAATGGAAAATGCCAGGAAAATATTTCTGACCTTAGGTCTCAAGTTGTGACCCGAAAGAAAATGGGTATACCACACAAATGATAATAATAATATTAATAATAATAATGGTTGTCCCTGTGGTGCAATCTAATTTTAACATCCTTAATTGGACCATACCTGGCATTAAGCAAATGGACGCCAAAACGAGAAAGCCTCTCACTTGCTACCGCATGCATCATCCCAAAATTGATCGTCTGTATGTGCCCAGATTCGAAGGAGGCAGAGCCTTAGTTCAACTAGAACTGTCCTACAAAACTACAACAATTGGCATCCAAAGATATTTGGAAACTACAGAAGACTGGATGATGGTATGTGTCAAAGATCATGAAAGTAGTAAGCGTCTTTATTTCGTAATAAAAAAAAGCCAACAAATTCAAAATGGAGTTTCAATTGGATGCAGAAATACAAGTAAAGCACAATACACCGACCGAGGCTGCAAAATACATAAAAAAGAAAGCAAAGGCAAATGCAACTGACCCGATACAGAAACAATGGCAAGATAAACCGCTTCATGGCCAATATTCTGCCCGTACCAAACAAGCTGATGTAGACAAGCCCCGTAACAATCAGTGGCTACGCAGTGCAGGGTTAAAAGCTGAAACGGAAGGTATTATCCTTCCTGTACAGGATCAGAGCTTGTTAACTAGAAATTATCAAGCACACATACTAAAATATTGTGTTAGCCCAAAATGCAGGTTCTGTGATAATTAGCCATAAACAATCGATCATCTTGTATCAGGTTGCACGGTATGTGCACCCACTGAATATAAAACCCAGCATGACAGAGTTGTCCAATATCTGCACTGGAAAATCTGTAACTTCTATGGGAAGGAAACTGAAAGAAAGTGGTATGAACACCATCAAGACCAGGTTACGATGGGACCTGTTACAATTTTATGGGACTACACAATGCACACAGGCAGAACAACCAAAGCTAACCGCCTAGAACAGAAACCGGACGTGGATGTAGCTTATCGTCTTACCCTGGACGCGGGTGTAGTTAATCGTCATACCCAGGATGAGGATGTAGTTCATCGTCTTACCCAAGACGCAGGTGTAGTTTATCGCCTTACCCTGGATGCGGATGTAGTTTATCGCCTTACCCCGTGACGCGGATGTAGTTTATCGTCTTACCCAGGACGCGGATGTAGTTTATCGTCTTACCCTGGACGCGGATGTAGTTTATCGCCTTACCCTGGACGCGGATGTAGTTTATCGTAATATCCGGGACGCGGATGGTGTTCGCCTTGAGAACAGTCGGATGCCTAAACAAGCTATGTCTGGTGAACTTAGAGATGGCAGGCAAGTAGCTTGTAAGCCCCGAAAACGTTTTAAAGATTACCTAAAGGACTCCCTTTAGAATGTCTGCATTAATATTTACACGTGGGAGAAGTAAATAAAAGATAGAGATCGGTGAGATTGTGCACAGCCGTGAAAGTCTTTGAGGAAAGCTGTTAATACTGTTTATTATAAACAGAAGCATTTACTTAAATATTTGTATCTATTAAAATAACGTATAAACAGAAAATATATAAAAATAATTGTCGGACTTTTACAACATATATCATTTGTTTACATTAATATACGCTTCGAGCAGATATCATGTGAAATTTGCAGTTTATATATATATATATATATATATATCAATGTCCAGGACAGATCAAGCTTTTTGAATTTGTAGGTCTGGTGAACTGGCTAGTGAGTACGATTCCAATGTAATAAATTATAACCATGGAATATATATATATATATATATATATTTATATATTAATATTATAATATATATATATATATATATATATATATTTAATATTATCAATATATATATATATATATATATATATATATATATATATATATATATATATATATGCTCCTGAAAATTTATTTCGGTTGAGCTCTCTGGGGAGGAAGTGTGGGTTTGTAAACAGTGGCTCTTACGGCTAATAATGCAAGACTCTTCGGTAAATAGAATCGAGTTCTCTCAGTAAATTTGTGTTTATCTATCTATCTATCTATCTATCTATCTATCTCACACACACATTCTCTCTCTCTCTCTCTCTCTCTCTCTATATATATATATATATATATGCAAATATATAGAAAAATAGAAAAGAGCACGTTAGGTAAATAATCCGAAGTTCTTTAGTATTTTTGTTTTTAAAAAACTGTGCTCAATACAAAAGTAGAGCATAAATTATAATATTTAAAAAGTAAATATGATTCCATAGCTATATAAGAGTTCTCGTTTCAAAAACAAGAGCCACAAACTTCAATATAATTATTAAAATTAAATTGATACTTTAAATTGATACTTTAATTCAATTTAGATTTAATAATCATATTGAAGGTTTGGGCTCTTGTTTTTGAAACATGAGAACTCTTATGTAGCGAAGGAATCATATTTTTAAAAATAATTATAATTATAATATATATATATATATATATATATATATATATATATATATATTATATTTTTTAATCATTTAGACAAAATCATTTTAGTCACTACAAAGATGAAACATCGTTTCAGTGCATTCCAACTGCACTTCGTTGGAATGCTCTGAAACGAGGTTGCATCTTTGTAGTGAGTAAAATGGTTTTGTCTATATGATAAAATTATAATAAATAAATAATTATCGCTCTACTATCAGTATCGAGCCCTCTTTTGGAATAATGCTGTGAACGCTGGAATTTATATATTACTTTCGTTCTCATCACATCGGATATATATATTTTGAGCATCTGGTATAACATTGTATATATATATATATATTGTCATCCCCAGACAGACTGTTTCGTGAGGCTAGACGTCCGGTTGCCTAGGATCGAAACCAACCCGACTGAATTGGCGTCAGTCGGGGATTCTTCCACTAAGCCGTTGGATGAAGGTGAATTTAAGCGTATTTATTTTTTATATAAACACACAGTGACTGATAGAACTTGATTCGAGTTACCACCAATAGTGTTACAAAATCCTCGAAGAATTCCAGTAAGATATCTTTAATCATTTCTAAAATACAACGGTTCAGAGCTTAATCTAACAATTGGACAATTTTGCTGTTATACGATTTTAACACCTCTGCTGTTGCATTCAGTATATATATATATATATATATATATATATATATATATATATATATATATATATATATATATATATGTGTGTGTGTGTGTGTGTGTGTGTACGTGTGTGTGCGTGAATTGTAGTTAGAAGATTAGACGGCGAAGATTATGTTGGAAAATGATCCTGGAGTTATATATATATATATATATATATATATATATATATATATATGAAATGGAGAAAGTCCGACAATTATTTTAAGACATTTTATGTTTATACATTCATTTTTTGATACAAATATTTAAGTAAATGCTCTGTTAGAATATATAATAAACAGAATTTAGAATTTATAATAAACAGTATTAAACAACATTTACGGGCCTGAATGTCCGAGAAATTTTCATAGGAAATATTCGACCTCCAACAGAAATCGAACCTGTATCCTATACGGAACCGTCATTTAGCCTGACGTGCCTTAACCGATCGATCCACATGTAGAAAAAGATAATAGGTATTAAGGAAAAAGACAATAGAAAAACTGTGTAGTTGTAGCCGACACGTTTCGTCCAATGTGGACTTCTTCAAGGCAAAAAACGAAATGAATTTATTGAAACAAAGTATTTATAAACAACAAACAAAATGTCGTTAGCAACTAGAATAGCGTTTCTAAATTCTTCTAGTTGCTAACGACATTTTGTTTGTAATTTATACATACTGCGTTGAAAAAGTTCACATTGGACGAAACGCGTTGGCTGAAACTACACAGTATATATATATATATATATATATATATATAGATAGATAGATATAGATAGATAGAGAGGGACTCTCCCATTGATTTCGACGTATGAGTGTTAACTCTGAGAACCAACAGACTACCTGCACATTTTATTTGATTCTAGTCGTGATGGCTTGTGCAGAACTGACCGCACCTTTCGGAAGGGCCCAATACAGACAACCGGTGCACAACATGCCATAAGTTCCCCAAACGACGCCCTCCCCTCAGGTTTTAAATTAAAAGTTGTCCTTCTTTTAGACCGGTTGCTACCCAAGGCTATAGGATCCCTTCTAACCTGCTATTTACCCAGAGCTGGGGGAGAAGAGATGGATTTATACATCTGCAAAGCATATTGTCATGTAAGTGAATGCAATGAACGCGACTG